ATTCCAAAATCACTGTGGATGGTGACTGCAGCCATGAAATTAAAAGACGCTTACTCCTTGGGAGGAAAGTTATGACCAACCTAGATAGCATATTAAAAAGCAGAGACATTACTTTACCAACAAAGGTCCATCTAGTCAAAGCTATGGTTTTTCCAATAGTCATGTATGGATGTGAGAGTTGGACTATAAAGAAAACTGAGTGCCAAAGAATTGATGCTTTGGAACTGTGGTGTCAGAGAAGACTCTTGAGAGTCCCTTGGACTACAAGGAGATCCAATCAGTCAATCCTAAAGGAAATCAGTCTTGGGTGTTCATTGGAAGGACTGATGCTGAAACTGAGACTCCAATACTTTGGCCACCTGATGCGAGTGAAGACCTGACTCATTAGAAAAGACCCTGATGCTCGGAAAGATTGAAGGCAGGAGGAGAAGGGGATGACAGAGGATGAGATGATTGGATGGCATCACCAACGTGATAGACATGAATTTGAGTAGGCTCCAGGAGTTGGTGATGGAGCGGGAAGCCTGGTGTGCTGCCGTCCATGGGGTCACCAAGAGTCGGACACGACTGAGAGGCTGAACTGAACTGAACTGTCTGAGGGCAAGCTAAACTTGATGTGAAGGTCAGTTTAAAAGTCTTGAGGGAACCATACAGTCTTTCTGGGATAGAAAATAGAGGACAGAGCCCAGCGTAGTCAAACTGCTGGATTAAAAAACAGAGAGCTAGAAATGGAGAGTCTCAAGTTTTACCTAAACTCTGACCAAATCACAAGCTGACCTCCAAAACCATGTACTCCCAAGGCATTCTGTGGCCAGCTGAGGCTATCAGTCTAGAACTGAAGTTTGAACTGCCAGCAGGAGACAGACTTTTTGCAGTGTGAATCCAGTATCAGGGTTGTGTCATGGTTACTCTTCATTGGCTGTCTTTTCTCTTGATTTTTTCCTGTTTCTTTGCATATTGACTAATTACGCATTTTGAATATTGAGCGTTGTGAATGTTATCAAGAATCTAGGAAATAAATCACATATGTTGCATGACTTAGAAAGGCATCTTTCATCGGTCTCACAGATTATGTTACTTAATTCTTGGATCTGCTCTTTGTTACCCAGATGCAAAGCCCAGAACAACTCCGCCCAGGTAGTGAAACGGGGGTCAACTCTGGTGGAGACCATCCAAAGCAATATGGTAAGTTTTCCTTGTCCCAAATTGGAGTTTTCTTCTGTTGTTTCCTACCCTGGCTTCCCTCTTCCTGCCCCCTGGCCCCCTTCCCTTCTTTGCAATAACCTTAGAGGTAGGAAATTAACAAGGCTCAGTACCTTGCTTCACACCACAGCAGCTAGGAAGTGGCAGAGCCAGTGACTCCTGGGTCAAGCTCTTAGCCACCCTACCACACTGCCTCTCTATGAGCACATGGACAGGCACACCTGTGGCTTTTATTTGCTTCCCACAGGAGAAGACCATCATTAAGAAACAGAAGAGAATCTTTTGGTACCGGTAAGTGGTAGAATCTTCTGTTTTCCTAGTCTAGGTCATGTTCACTCTGTAGCAGTAAGTGACTTGATAAGAGCGTGTAGAATAAGGATAAACACATTCACCAACCAGAACATATCAGGCCGCCCCAGATTTCTGCCATCTCTCCCTTCCTTCTTTTCTGAAAATCAGAGTTATGTAGGACTTGGTGGCTGGAGAAAATGGCTGTTTTGGAGACGTTTAAGGTGAAGCTTGCATTTTAATTTCAATTTCCACTCTTAAGACTCATAGTAGGGCTCCTTTCTATTTTTCAGATCCTGAACCTGGTAATCTGCTCTCCTCTTTACTGGAAAGAGAGTTCAAGGTGTATTAATTTTCTTAGTTCTTTTACTGCAGGCTATAAAATTTTAGAGAAAAAAATCACTTGAACTCTGTGCCTTTTGTTTTAAAATTTTTGAAACAAGGAGACAAAGATGCTCCATGTGGCACTTTAATGAAAAGCTTCAATTTGTGACATTTTAGTGTAGTTAAAGATGGAAAGACTTGGGCCAGTTTTCAGGGTGGAATTTTCTTGGGTGCACATAAGAAAATACATGCACACAACCTACTATTGTTTCACTTTCTTTTTCTTCCTTCCTTTCTTTTTTGGCCACACCATGTGACCTGTAGGATCTTAATTCCCTGACCCAGGATTGAAACGGCACACTCAGCAGTGAAAGCCCACATGGAGCTCTAACCACTGGAATACCAGGGAATTCCCGAGTTGGTTTCCTTTGGCACTTGGTGTTTAGCAAAAAAAAAAAACAAAAAAAACCACACAACCCAATCATTTTCTGTGAATGTTAATGTCAGAGATGGCCCAGACACATTTCACATTCTAAAAGTTCTTACTATAGTAGAGTGAGTAGGACCACTGACGATGAGACTCTCAGGAGTGCAGTTCTGAATCTCTTCTGACAACCCGCACAAAGGCCTGCATATATAGTACCTGGAAGGTCTTATTCTTCTGCATCTCCAGCTCTTCTGTGTGGACATCCATTCTGTTGGAGGGCTTAAAAGTCAGGCGGGCTGTATTCCAGTCCTTACCACCACATCAGTCTTTTTCTATTATCCCCTACTCCCTGCCCTCACCCTTTATGTCTGCATGCCCCACTTCCCCGTCAGGCTGGCCCGAAGAAAGTGATTTACAGTTATTTATGAAGGTGAGGTTCACCTCCTGCTGCTGCTTCCTGGGCTGTCTTCCCCCGTGCTAACGATGAATGTCTCTCTGCAGGCATTTCAGGTATTTTATCTTCATGGTCGTCATCTTCTTTAGGCTGCTGGGTTATGTGCTTTTCTACCTGCAGTACATAAACCCAGACCTCCTTGTGGATGCCCTGCCCGTGGTCATGAGCAGAGACACCTTGAAGAGGCTGAGGGATGCCTTACTTCCCTTCCTCACTCTAGAGGTGGAAGAAGTTCTACCACATTAGTCTGGACTGACCTGGGGGCTTCACACTGCACCCAAGTGAAGAGGAGGGCATGGCTGTGGACCCCAAGTGGGGAATGGGCCAGGAAAGAAGTAGGAGCTCTGACTCAGAGCTTCTGCTTTGACATCTGACCTCTTCATTTCATTTTCTTCCCATGCTTTTTCTCCAGAGTGTCTCTCTTTCAAATAAAACATATGTTTGATCAGAGTTCACTGTGTGGGTCTGAGAATTTGGTCCATGGGTCCTTTAGGGAAGATAACCATACATTATCTTCCCTAAAGTTCGCTTATTTTATATTATTCTATGTCTTATAGGAGTAGGATAGCCTGAAAAGCTGACCTTTTACATGTACACAAATGGTTTCTCATTCTCAATTGAGAAAAAAAATTACCCTAAAATTCAAGTGCTATAATAAAATCAAATCGTAATTCAAATGCCTTCCCTCCCACAATGCCTCCTCTGATCCTTCCAAATGCTGCTGCCACCTTCCCCGGGCTTCCCTTACTGGCCTGCCCACTTCTGCCTTGCAGTATCCTTACTGTCTTGAGGGTGGGGCTTCTGATACCTGGATTTGGTGTCAGTACACATGGCCCCAAGCATAGTGTCTTTACAAAGACTGCTTGGAGAGCGGTGTCTACTGGATACTGAAGCTGAGTAGTGGAGGCATCTTCCTTTGGCAGCTGCTTCCTCCTATGCATTTCTGAGGCCCTTGATTTCTGGTGACTTTTCTCCTTCCACGACCATTCTCTTGCAAAGGTTTTAACTGAATTTCACTTGCATAGCAATGCCAAGGTGAGAGAGACACATTGTGTGTTCGCTTTGGCTGCAGACATGACCCTATCCCACATTTTCTTTTGGGGGTCTAAGGAGGAGAGGGTGAATGAATGGTCTCAAGACGCCTTAAAAAAAAATGAAAAACTGATCAACACCACCCTCTTGTGGCCAAATACAAGCGCTATTGCATTTCTGTGGGCTTCCCTCCAAAAGGCAGGCGTGTGATGAACAAGTTGAAGCAGAAAGATGGGTCTTTGACAATTCTCTGAGCTCTAAGAAGTTCAATTAGTGTTCATTCATTCATTCATTCAATAAATAGTCATTTAACCTTTTTCTTGGTCCAGGCTCTGGGATTATAGCAATGAATGAAACAGCAAAAAATCTCTGCTCTCATTGCGATGGGTATGTACATGCTCAGTCACTAAATCACATCCAACTCTTTGCAAACCCATGGACTGTATCCCACCAGGCTCCTCTGTCCATAGGATTTCCCAGGCAAGAATGCTGGAGTCGATTGCCATTTCCTCCTCCAGGGGATCTTCCTGACTGAGGGATCAAACCTGCATCTCCTGAGTTACAAGCAGATTCTTTACCACTGAGCCACCTGGGAAGCTGTAGTGAGTAGAGTCAGATAATAAATTATTAAAATATAAAAATATCAGATGATATTAGGATATGGGGGAGGAGGAAAGAAATGATGATGAACAGCAGTTACAGTGCGCCCTTGAGAAGGTAGCATTATAACCAAGACCTGAAGGAAATGAAGGCATGTGGGTGCCAAGATGGGTGGCTGAGACAACTAGGAGACAGCAAGTACCTGGCCTAGAAAGTGGAGTGTGCCTCTTGTTGCTTTTGAGTTTCCTTTGCTGATTTCCTGCTCACACCTCTCTAATAATCCCTTCATTAAACTCTCTTCATTGGAATCCTCCGAGCTGAGTTCTGGTTCCTACTAAGATCCTGGCTGATCCTCTGTTCATTGGCCAGACACATGCCCTAGGCTGGAGGATTTCAGCACTGGACTGATTCTAAACTACAGGTGTATGTGAGGAAAATACCTGCAACTGGCCAAGAGATGTATCCACAGAACATTACTTCCTGAGTCATTCCCATCTCTGGTCACACAGTCCCTTATAAGTGCATGAAATGCCTAGGTGCCCCTCCAATACCCAGCCCTTCCCATATCACATCCTAGATAGATGTGAGTCCATCCCAATCAAGACTGGCTAGGAAATACCGTGTTAGGAAAATTGTGGCTAGGTACCTCCTCCTTCGTAGTCAGCGATCCACTGGGGACTGAAACCTTAAAGTTGTATTGGAAATTCACATTGCAGAAGCACAGTGACCTTTTCTGCCACTAGGAGAGCCTGGCTCCAAGTAGGAAGCTGGGTCCTGAAGGGCCTGGAAAGCATTCAAAGCTCTGGGAAGAACAAGAGTGATTACTGCTGCTTTAAATGAACAGTGCTGAGCTGGACATTGGACTTCCAGCAAATGGGAGCTTATCATATCCAACCCTCACATATCTATCAGTTTCTGAAAGATTGTAACAAAATGACACAACACACCTAACACAGCAAAGGGCACATGGTGGGCATTCAACCACATGAGTTTCCTTTCTTTCATATGAGAGTTTGCCTTCATCTAGCAAACTTCACATAGCAACACAGCAAAGTGACTGCCTCTCGTATATTTTAGTCACTAAAATGAACAGCCTTCTGTTCTCCAAATGAACATTCGCAAGTCCTCTGAGCTGTCACGTGACATGGCTTCTAGATCTCGTATTATCTGATTTACCCGTCCCTGGCACCTTCTGAGGTGAAAAGAATATACTACAGAGGAGGTCTGTTTGGCAGTGTGTGTGTGTGTGTGTGTGTGTGTGTGTGTGTGTGTGTGTGTGTGAGTCACTCAGGCGTGGCCAGCTCTTTGCAACCTCATGGACTGTAGCTTGCCAGGTTCCTCTGTCCATGGAATTCTCCAGGCAAGAATACTGTAGCCCTATTATCCCTTTAAACAACTATAACATTATTAATACTGCCTAAAATTTCATTAGTCGTTTTGGCTGCTGTATCTCTCAAAAGTATGAGCTTGGAGTCAACCAAGATTCTTAACCTTTTTGGACATGAATTATTTTTATCCTACATCTTCTCTGTTTTTTATTTGGACAGATTTTTTAAAAAAAAAATCATACTAACAAAAGGATGCTAAAAACCATGTAAAACTTACCGCTTGCTTTATTAAATTTCATTTTTTGGTTTGGATGCTTTGTTTCAGTTTGTTGCAATCAAAACTCTGACTATATGAAGGAGTTACTGGTCCATTTAATGACCAGAGACACCTGGTAGAGTAATACTGGTGAACTTTGGATGGAGAGAAGTCTTCGGTTTTGTAATGATTGTTGACCCCAGGCCGCTAGTTAACCCTGGCTTTAAAGTAGCTCATTACACTCTCCCTCAGGAAATTGTTATAGCAGGTGCCAAGTTTTTTCCTCCAGTATTCTGAAATGGAATGTCTTTGGGGCTGAAGGCTTGAATTCAGTTAAATGGATTAAGCACTTTCCTTGTACCTTTTCACCTATCGTAAACTTGAACCTGTTAACTAATTTGGACTATCTATCTTATCCATGTTAAAGATCAATTTCTTTGATAGAGAAGGCTGAAGTGGGATAGACTCTTATCTTTTAACATTATATCCCATGCCCTAAGAACTGGCCCATCCTTCATCTTTCCTATTTCAAACATAGCACTAAAAGTGCCTTTTAAAAAATGCACTTTATGATATCTTTTTGCAAACCCCAGTGTTGTCTAGGAAAAAGCACTAAATAAAGAAGCAAGCCTTGGACACTAGTCCCAGTCTTTCTGTTATGTAGCTGATTTTCTACAAGTCCAATAGTCACATACCCTCTCTGGGCCTATGATCTCCATCTCCTAGTTTGGTGAACTGCCTGATATTATCCAGAAGGTAAATGGCATAGCCAGAGTTCACAGGCCACCTCTGGGCTCCTCTAGGACACAGGCAATGCAAGTAAGAAAGATGTAATCTAGACCCCTGAAGTCATCTTCGAATACAACATTAATCTGCCAAGTATTAGAACTATTGAATCAGTACTCATAATCAGTTACTTTTCCATTACTTATTTCTTGAGATCCAGTATAATTCCTTTCACTGTCTTAAATTTTCCTTTGGAGCTGAATTATTCCTCTAGTGTAATGATTCCCATTAAAATAAAAGATAACTTGGATAAATGTTTTATCAAGGGATTGAGGGCCATTTGTATCTTAGTACAAATACAAAGTGGAAGAACTGAATTTTACAGGGAAGGGAGAAGCTGAAAGAAATATTAAGGCCATTGTCACCTGAAGGTGGGTGAGGGTGTTGAATCAAGGTAGTAACAGGGAAGCTGAAGTAAGCATTAGAATAATAACTCTATCTAGAGCAGCTTTTCCTGAGACAGCCCTTGGGGAGTCCACCTGAAAGCTTTAGTTCTCACGTATAACCAGGCCACTGTCATGTTACATCTTTCAGTACAAAATAGTTGGACCTGGAGGGAACCAGACCCTGTCCAGGGGTGCCACTATCCCCTGGAGATTGCTCTCTTGCAAAGCCCAGTTGAATTGTTCCTGGTGGATCATTCTCCCACACACCATATGTATTCACCAGTTAGAACTTCACGAGATCTTTTTAAATCCTTGTCTTTATGCCTTTACGTCATTCACCCCCTGTGTGGGGGTGCCAGCTTGAAAGAACAACATTAGTGACTCCCTCTGGGAGTTCAGTGGGCTCTGTGGTCCCTGAGTTCAAGAGCTGCCAGCCCACATTGGAAAAACCATAGCCTTGACTAGACAGACCTTTGTTAGCAAAGTAATGTCTCTGCTTTTTAATCTGCTGTCTAGGTTGGTCATAACTTTTCTTCCAAGGAGTAAGCGTCTTTTAATTTCATGGCTGTGACCGGGACCACGAATGAGCGGGTGCCGCTCCCTCCACTCACCCGGGCAGGTAGAAGGTCTTCCTGCTCAGTTGGCACACAGGCCCTAGTGTGGGACTGTCCGCCCTTTGCCAACAGTCTGTAGAAGACTGATCCCTGCTTGGAGCTCAGAATTTATTTTTCTTCTGGGAGGTTTGTTGGAAGATTAGTGAAGCCCAGATCTAACCTGAGGCTTTTCTCAACTCCATAGAGCTATTTCACAGAAGAGTGAAGGGAACAAGGGCAGTGACTTTCAGCAATCATTAAAAGAGTTACAATTCAGGGGGCGGTGAGAGGGGATGGAGGTAAAGGCTAGCAGCTTGGCAGAGGGGAATGTCAAGAAAGTCTGATGAAAAGGGGAATAGATTTCTTGTCTATGGATCTCTCCTTTTGCTAGAATTGTCCTGCTGCAAATATAAGTGGTTAGGAGATTCTCTACCTTCCAGGACTCTTGGGCCTAGAACTATATTTTCAG